AATTGTTGTTATCATTAACCACTTTATGATTTTATTAAGTTAATGTCTTTAAGAACTTAAACTTCTCTGTTATGGATTTGCTTTGAATTAAGTTACTTTTGACCTGTGAGACTGCTTTATATTCTATTGCCTTCAAAATTATATTGCTAACTACAAACTGAGAAAGTCTATTAAAGTGTGATGGCCTTTTTCACTGCAGGTCTCTATCTGAGAGATTTAGTACTCCTCCCTGCCTCCTGCCCCACCTCCTCCCCTGTATATTGTTTAGAGATGTTATTTGTTATCTTGGATTCCTTTCTGCTAGCACAATAGTTCATTTATCTATTGAGAAGCTTGAGCTGCTTACATGTAGTAATAGATGTAACTGGTTAAAGCTCCCAGCTGATGTCCCTTATGATTTCTTGGAGGAAGTTGTGTGGTTTGGGTTCCCTTGTGAATATTCTTAAAAATCTTTTGTCAGTAATTCTCCAGATGTGTAGAAATATTTGTCCAGAGGATTAAATACACTGTAGAAAGATGCTCTGTGATTTTTTTTTTTAAATCATCCGAATGATTTTTAAAAAACTTGCTCCTCTTTCTTGTGCTTGAAACACCAGCCATTCATGTCCCAGTTATTCGTTTAGGTCAACTCTTAACTCCAGGCAGTTCCACGGGGAGTTCGTTTTCCACTGAAATGGATAGGGCCTTGCCGGCTACAGCTGCACCTGGTGGGAGGGCTTGTGGGGACCCAGGAGCTCCTGGCTGCAGGAGAGCTCTGGCTCAGAGCACCTGCGGAGAGAGGTGTGAGGGAGAGGTGAGGACAACAGTGATACAACAAGTAAGTTTGTCTTATCTGATGGTGTTTCTCTTCTTTCAGTGAGGTAAGCAAGATAAAAAGAGCTGCTATCAGATCAGAGAGGCAATGATATTTAAGCAGAGCCCCTGCCCAGGGCAGATCTCCTTACCTGTGATTATTACTGCCCACAGCAAATGCGAATTTAACAAACTGCTTAGAATGCAACTTTTTTCCAGATAATTTTTTTTAAAGCATGCCAGCACAGACAAGAGAGATCTGTGTTGTAGTGCTGTTCGTTATTATGATGTCAGTAGCTCGCTTGCTTGTTGAGAAACCCCAAGTCTGTAATGTTTAAGTTAAGTAACTTATTTTATTGAAGAGGTAGCATTTTGAAATCAAGTTCTGCTGGTTTTAGTTATATACAGGATCAGTCCTTGGGGGAAAATATTACATAGTTTAGAAAGCATGAAAATAATTAATACATGAAAGTAGAAATATGAGTAGTGTAAAAATAGGGAAATGTAAAGTGCCCCTAATTTTACTCTCCAAAAGTGCCTGCTGTTAATTATTTGGTGTATATGCTTGCACACTTTGTCCCATGCACCTAAAAATACAACTTTTTAAAATAGAAGTATAGTCAGTTACAAATGTGTCAGTTTCTGGCATACAGTATAATGTCCCAGTTATGTATGTGTGTGTGTATATATATTATGTGTGTGTGTGTGTGTATTCTTTTCCATTAAAGATTATTACAAGATATTGAATATAGTTCCCTGTGCTACACAGAAGAAATTTGGTTTTTATCTATTTTTACATATAGTGGTTAACATTTGTGAATCTCAAACTCCCAAATTTATCCCTTCCCATCCCCTTACCCCCAGTAACAATAAGATTGTTTGCTATGTCTGTGAGTCTGTTTCTCTTTTGTAGATGAGTTCATTAGTGTCCTCTTTTTTTCTTTTTCTTTTTTAGATTCCATGTATGAGTGATATCATATGGTGTATAAAGACATAACTTATTGTGTGTATGTGTTTGGAAAATAGTATTACCGATTTCTGCATTAATTTTCTCCCATAATATATGAAGAACATCTTTCTTGGTCACTGAAGTATAATTGATTTACACTGTTGTGTTAGTTTCTAGTGTACAGCATGGTGATTCAGTCATATACACACACACACACTCTCTCTCTCTCTCTCTCTTTTTCATTACAGGTTATTACAGGATACTGAATATAGTCCCATGTGCTATACCATAGGGTCTTGTTTATTTTATATATAGCAGTTTGTATCTGCTAATCTCAAACTCCTAGTTTATCCTTCCTCCATCCCCTTTTCCATTTGATAATCAGAAGTTTGTTTTCTCTGTCTGTGAGTCTCTTTCTATTTTGAAAATGAGTTCATTTGTGTCATTTTTTAAGATTCCACATATAAGTGATATCATGTGATATTTGTCTTTCTCTGACTCACTTCACTTAGTATGATAAATTCTAGGTCCATCCATGTTGCTGCAAATGTATGCCATCATTTTTAATGGCTGTACCATAATATGATTCAATTTGTTTTCAATTTTTTGCCATTAGTACAATAGACACTCATTGAGAAATGCCTCTGTGGGCAGTGAATGTACTAGTAAATGTATCTGAAAGCATTTATGCTGGTCAGAAGAAGTACTTTTTCTATAAAACTTCTCTCAAGTTAATGTTTCTTTCCCCTCTGCCAGGGTAACAGTTAAGTTTCCCTTACAGTGGTTGCTTGTTCTGTGCCAGGTAAAGTCAGTGTGTCTAAGAGAAGTATGTTTGGGCATTATAGATTTTCAAAGGCTGCAAGATTCAATTTACAGGCACCTACGTAGGTAGGTCTTGTTGCTTCATTGTGTCAGTAAGCTGGGGAGGAAGTTCATGGTGAAATTTCCCCATTCCTGCCCAGGATCACTGCCAACCCCATAGAAAAATGACTTTGTGGGCTGTGAATGACGAACAGGGGAACAATCAGGATATTCTTGATGTTCTGCAAGTTAGTGACCCTGCTTACAGTTGATTTCCTATTTTCACCCCCAAAACTCTAACGTAATTCCTGGAAATAATTCATTCTAATTGTAAGGCTCAACAATTTAGAGGAAAAGGGTGTGGCCTCGAGAGTCATGACTGGCTGGGGTCTGTGTCCTGGGTTTTTTACCCTTTCACTGGGTTACTTTCAGGACGCAGGTACAGACTGCAGCCCAGGTCTTATTTTGGGACTTTTGAAGGCTGAAAGACGTGAAGATGGAGAGAACAGCATTTCACGTGTTTGGCACACTCACTAGGTATTTTTAAAGAATATCTTTTCAGAGGCATCTTTTCTGTTTTTGATGTTTTTCTGGGATCTTCAGGTGTCAAACACTGAATCTGAGTTCTTATTTTAATACTTGAAAGAATAAATGATTAGCTAAATGAGGAGGCAGCATGTGTACCAATGAAGAAAGGGGTAGGAGACTGGGCTTCTGGTCAGACAATTCAGTGCATTACCTGGGAAAACCTTTTCTCTCTGAAGTTCTGTTTACTCTAGAAACAGCAGAAGCAAATTAAAATGCAACCCCCTGAGACACAAGCTTATGGGCAATGATCATATTGTTGTCAATTGCCTATAAGACTTTAGAGGACTGTGATTGTGTTATTAAATTATAAAGCCCTTCTGGCCTCTATGTTTTCCTGCCTCCCTTTAGATGTCTTCAGAAATAATGAATGATATAACAGTGATGACATTTAATAAGTAGCTTCTTGTTTTTAAAATATTGAGTGGTGAAGGGAAGATGTCCTGCAAGTTCTTTGTAATAACATATTCCCAGGTGACAAAAAACAGGACACTTTGCTTATTCAGAACCACAAGCCTTCACTGTGCTCTTTGGCTTTCCCCTTCATTTGTTTATCTCTTTGTTCATTCAGCTGCATCTGTAAGGACTGAGATTTACCAGACATACTGGGTAGTGCCCTGGGGATACAGAGTTGAGTGAGATATACGCTCCCTCTCCCCAGGTCATGAGGGGCTTCCTTCCTCAGAAATACTTTTCACGTGGTATTTTTTAGGCACAGTGAGTGTGAATCTCACCCATCCTTTTCCGCTTAAGCATATAACACTTAAATCATCATTGGCTCCAGCAAGGACACGTTCTATTTTTCAGTTCCTAGAGCAGGCCCAGCACTGCTCTGCTGGGTGCATGGGGACCCCTGACCGTTCTCATGAACAGTCTGCGGACTGAGGCCCCGCTGCTGCACATGTGTTCTGTGGAGCCTGGGGTGGGAGGACTCTTTGGGAAGCACATGCGTCTTAACCCAGAGACGGCGGTTCCACAGCTCGTGTCACTGCCTCGTTACAGCCGGAGCCACTCTTCCCTTCCGGGAGGTGTCCTCATGGAGAACGTGGAAGTCCACTCAGCTCTGGCGAGTTTCTTTTTTCACGTCTGTCATCAGCGTGCAGAGTGGCTGGTCACTGTTTTTTACAACAAAGTAATGCCAGTTTTCTTTCTTTCTTTTTTTCAGTGTAAGAATAAAAATAGAAAATATTTATGTAGTGCCTTGCTTTGTGCCAGATGCTGTTTTAAACCTGTTAAATACATTATTTCAGTTAATGCTCCCAATTCTAGGAGGCAGGTGCTGTTACTACTAGTCTTTTTACCTAACCTCTCTGTGCTCAGGAGATTAGGAAACCTGCTCAAAGTCATACACTGAAGAAGTGACAGAGCCACAATTTTAAGTGGCCAGTCAGGTTTTCCAGAACCCATATCTGAACGCATATGTACGATTCATTAACGAAGATGAATGTATTTGCTTATGATTGGTGCTGGGATTATAAAAATGAAAAAGAAAGGCTGAAAACTCCCTGCCCTTACAAAATTTAAGTATTGTTAGAGAAAGGCCAGTTTCTAAGTGGCAGAAGAGCAGCGGTTGAATAGCACAGACAGACACAGGAGGATGGTCGTGCCGGAAGAAGCTGGAAACGTGAACAGAGTGGAGTTAGAGGTCACTCTTCTTTTGGGCGTCATGTTTTATCATCTTCCCAGAAGTTTATGTGAGAGCATAGCTTGGTGGATTATCTGAGTCTGGAGACGTCTTATTTTCCTCCCTAGAGTTCTTTTTTTTAAATTGACTTACAGCACAATGCAGGATGACCCTGAAATGTTTATTCCCTAACCAGTAAAATAGGCACCGTAGTCACCGCAGTGTTTCGAGGAGGCTGCCACTTGCCCAGTGTGCTCTACCCTTTGACAGGTGGTGGCTAAATGCAAGATGGCAGAGCTGTGGCCCAGGTAGCAGTGCATGGCATGGGTGGTCTCAGAGAAAGCACTTTGGAGAGCAGATTCAGATTCAGATATGGTCCAGGACCTGCCTTTCAGTCTCTGTGGACGACTCTCCTTCCTTCCCCCACCTCACACGAGCCCGCCCCCCACTTCAGTAGTTTTCTCACCTGTAAGAGGAGACTTGCAGAATAAATAATCTCAAAGCTCAATGTTTCATGGTAATTGCTTTGGTCCCAGAATAACCTATGATGAAGTCAGATCAAGATCCTTGGGTTTCTCTTTCAGGTTCTAAGCTTAGTTTATCCTAAGTCCTTTGGGTTTTGAGTGATAAGAGCTGTAAGACAGGGGATATTGGATTTCCACCCAATGTAATGAACAAGACAAGTGCAAAGGGTTGGCAAGGCTGGAAATAAATAGAAGTAGTAGCAGAATTTGGAGCCAGCAGGGAATACTGTCCAGAGGGGTGAGAAGACCTGGCTGGAGCCCACAGATGACACGACTGTGAGTATAACTTTAGAAACAAGAAGGCTGGGAAATTATAGTTTCTCCTCAACTTTCCGGAAGTTTGAAATATCCCCGTAATGTGATACAGCTGGTCCTGAGTTTCTCGTAGAGTAACATTTTGAGGCTTGAGGAGTTTTCCGTGCTTACTTTCCAGGCAAGCGTATGTGCCACTTAGGGGTGGGTCCCTGCGGGCTTTGCCAGGTCCTCGGGGAGGGGCCGGGCTGAGGCTCTGTGTCAGGGTCCCCTCTTGTGGGGAGTTGTCACTGCTACGGGAGATGCAGACGTGAGTGGTGCACAGGGCTCTGTGTTGGTGTCTTTTGAACACTTGACATTTCTAAGCCAAGACTGCGTTTCTGTCAGATGGAGATAGTTGTGGTGTCTGCCCTCCAGACTCCTCATCTCCGAAGGTTGTCTAGACTCCCTTGGTCAACTTCCCTCCTTCACTCCTCACTTAGCGTCGCGCTCCAGAGTGCCACCAGACCACTCTTTCTAAAACACAGATATGGTTATTAATCTCCTGCTTAAACCCCTTTCCTGACTTTCCTTTGCAGAGAAGGCAAAGCACGGCCTACTTGGCCGCTTAGGCTGACCCTGAACTTGCTTGCTGGCCTCCCTCATTTACTGCAGCTTCCAAAATGCATCCTGACCCAGGCCTTGTGCCCATCACCTGGGTGCTTTCATACCTGCGCACAGCACTTCCTTCACCTGGCATGGCTTCACTGCTGGACCATTTCCGTTTATCCTCCAAGTCCTGGATTCACATGCCAGCTCCTCCAAGAAGCCTTTAAACTCTCTCCCCGCATCTTCCTGTAGACTATGTGCTCCTGTGGTCAGTCCTGGCATCATTATGCTAGTGTGTTAAGTCATTAGGCATCTCTGCTGTATTGTCGCTAAAGTGTGTACTCCGGTCTCCCTCACCAATTGGGGGCTTATGCCCGCAGGAGTTGTGGTTTTGTTTTCTTTGTATCCTGTCTGTGACAGAATGCAAAGCTCCACTTTTTTCCCTTTCTTCTCTGCGTGGTCACCTTTGCAGAATTTGAAGAAGGGGTTGCATAAAGGGATTCCAGGAGAAACTGGATGTGAGGATCATCCTCCTCTTCATCCTTCCCTCTTCCACCTTCATCGGTTTAGCCACCGATATTCAAATATGTTGAAATGCCAAAAAGTAACAAGGGATGCTCCCAGAGGAGACTGCTAGGCTAAATGTGTTGTGGGCATTGTGCCCCGAAACTCTGCTGTGCTTCTGTTACTTTTGATCTAAATTAAAATGTTAGCTAACACTTGTGACTTGATGACACATGTACAAACTTGGGCGACCCAGGCCAAAACCCTTCTCCCTCTTCCTCTTTGCCAGCATCCCTTTCTGTTATCAGTGCTGCTGCTTCTCATCAGTTGCACCTGCAACTGTAGCATCATCACCTGTGATGGTTGTTGTAGGACACTTGGAAGAAATCAGTATGTGACCTTGTTACCAGGATGCCAGTAAATTGATTATATGTGGAAAGTAGTGGAGACCCACACAATGTAGGGCAAAGAAGACAGCTCTTCTCGGGGAGAAAGACTGGAAAGCGGGGTCTGTTAGCAACACTGAACAATGCAAGTCGCCTGCTTTTCTTGGCCAAGACTCTACTTGAATGTTTTGAGTCTAATGTGGTAGTTTTCCCCAAATTTGTCTTGTCTCCCCAAGTGAAAATTTCAGGGAGTGGTCTGTCCTTTGTTTTGCCATGTTTTAAAAATTACCTGTATGTTAAAAAAAAAAGTCCATTTCGTATGGTCTTTAATAGTGCTGTCTAATGGAACTCTAGCATGAGCCATATGCATCATTTTAAATTCTTTTTTTAGCCAAATTGAAGTAAAAGAAATAGGTGTAGTTAATTTTCGTATATAAATTCAGCCCAATATTTCCAAAGATATTATCATTTCAGCATTTAATCCTTATAAAATATCAAGGCATTGTACATTCTTTTATTCATACTATGTTTTTGAAATCTGGTGTCTATTTTACACCTATAGCATATGTGAATTCAGGATAACCACATGTGGCTAGGAGCTACTGAACTGAATAGTGCAGGTCTATAACATTCCATAGCTTACACATTATTACACACTCCATAGCTTAAACACCTCAAACTAGAAACTTGGCATTAGTGGGTGAGTCATTGAAAGGAGTACCATATTTGTTATTCTGGTGTGAGGAGGAAATTCATGATTTAATTGTAAGGTTAGGTTTTCCTTGCAAAGCTCATGTCTTTGAAGTATTCAGAGGTAACATAAATGAGACACAACCTAATGGCATTAATATATGTCCCAGCATTCAAACCTGGTTTTTCAGGAGGATGTAGTATTTTGAAGTATGATTTGTAATGTCCTTGAAATGGAAAATGAGTATCCTTCAGGGAATGACTCTGCCTTCTGTCTGTCCTTCTGTGAGATCACAGAGCCGGGCAGTTCAGTGCAGCTTACGTTTCTAGATCTCAGAGCGGTGCAGAAAGCCTCGGATTCCTGTCCTCGCTGGAGGTGTGGAGGCTTGAGCTCACAGTGTGAAGCAATGTTGTGCATTTCTCATACAACAAGAAGTGGAGGCATTGGCACAGCTTCCTGTTCTGGAACTCTGAAATTCCACTCCGTGAATTGCTGGTGGGTGAGGGGAAAGGTCCTGGGCTTGGGGCCAGGAGACCCACAGGTCACCATCTGTGAGACCTTTATTAATTCATGAAACCCCTCTGAGCTTCAGTTTCCCCCTCTGTGGAACGGCGATGATACAACCATAAGAGTTTAGGGGAGGTTTCTAGAGATGATATGTGTGTGATCCAGCAAAGGTGTGTTTCTGTTATAGGGACCAGTAGTGTCTTGTATCTGAGTGACACTTGACTGAGTATGATCCCCAAGTTCCTGCTCTGCACCAGGCACTGTGTATTGAAACCCTCAATAATCCTGCGATGAAGATAAGGGAAGCTGGTACTTTCCCTATTTTCAAATGCAGATGTGGAGACTTAGTAACTTGTCCCAAGGCCACATAGCCAACAAGCAGTTGAGCCAGGATTTTAAAAAAAAACAACTTTTTAATATGAAATTCTCAAACATATGCAAAGGTAGGTAGATGAGTAGAGTGGTTCTCTAACTGGAGTGGGCGCCACCATCACTCACCCATGAAGGAGGCTTTGTTAAAACCCGGGTTGCATGGCCCCACCCCAGAATTTCTGATTCAGTAGATCTAGGGTGACTGTGCATTTCTAACAAGTTCCAGGGGATGCTGGTGCTGCTGGTCTGGGACCACACTTTGAGGACACTGGGCTGTTAAAATGAACTCCTATCCACCTTTCACCACCTCCAACAATAGTGAATATTTTGGGGACCAGGATTTTAATCCTAACTCCCCACACCTGCCCTTAACTGGTCTCTGAATGCTCTTTTCTGGTGACGAAGTGTGCAGAAACTCTCGTGGACTGAAAATGTGTTATGGATATTCCCTTCCCCAACTCTGGTATGTTTAGGTAAGTAGCTTAAAGTAAGTTGTTTTGAAATCGGACTAAATCTGGCTTTTAGAGCCTTTTAGCTTAATTACTTGACCCCTTCATTTCAGAGTTCCAAAAATATCTTTTATTGACATAGGAAGAATTAAGAATTTTTAGGCCATAAGGCTAAAAAAAAGTGGAGGGAGATGGGTTATTGGCTAGAACAGAGTCTGTAGTATGGATTTAAGATAGAATCATTTAGGGACCCACCACGGAGCATCTCTTCCTCTCTTGCTTTCATCACCACTCTTACAGGTGAAAAAATGGTGGGCAGAATGAGCAGCTGGGGTGGTGGGTGTGGGACACACACGCTGAGCCGCCTCTCAGACCCCTGCCTGCTCTCTCCCCCTTCTCCTCACGCTCTTCTTTGCGTTTCTTTGGCTCATGCCCTGGGTCAGGACAGAAGGAAGATACCTGAGGCGCTCTCCACAGGGGCGATGTCCCCATCCCACTCAGCTCTCTCCTCGTGCTCCAGGGCCTGTCTGGCCCTCTCTTCTGCTCTCTGTGGCATCCTCATTGGGCACAGCCAACTGAATGCAGCAGTTACGCAAGTTTCCATCCCATTTTCTAGATGCTATCGATCTGACAGTTTTTCATAGTCTTTAATTCTGTTTATTTCAGTAATTGGATAATAATTCTGGAAAACCACAGTTATTTATAAAAAAGACAAATGCAAAACCCAGGCTCTTTTCCTTCCATCAAATTGATTGATTTTGAGTGTCCAAGTTTTGCTTGTACTGGCATGCCTAATTAAATAGAATTTTTCAAGTGACAAGTTCTCTCACTTGAGTGCTCTTTTTAGTACTGTATAAAAAGGGAATCCAACATCTTATCAGTGCCTTTAATATAAAAAGCTATACTCACAAGTGTGTCATTCTTGGTGTTAATCTGTTCTGGGGATAACACTGCATTTCAGTGTGAGAAATATATTTAGGTGTCTGAGAGTTTGGTGTTCATTATGCGTTCTTCTAAACATTCTCTGGTTCATTAGCTGTTGTGGTTTAACGCTCAGGTTTGAGACTGAGCGTGCTTCTCAGTCCAAGCTTAGATGGGGTTCTCTTTTTCCTCTAGATTTCTATATCACGTGCTTGTGTTTGTTGCCAGTGAACATGCAAAAATTTAAAATATAGAGGCTGCAGGGAAGAGCAGGAACCAGGAAGAGCATGGCCCAGGGGTCAGAAGACCTGGGATCCAGGCCCAGCTTTGCCAGCAACTCCTTCTGGGGCCTCAGGACAGTCACTTAACTCCCATCCATGCACCGACGTGTCCCTATCTGTAAGATGAGAGACCTGGACCAGATAATCTCAGGTTCTGATGTTTGTACAATTGAAGTTCTGACGTTACCAAACCTGTTCCTTTTAAACATGTATGATTCTAAACAGCTGTTGAGACAGTTGTTCCTACACACATTGATGAACAGTCTGTAGAGAGGAACATGGATCACTGGGGAGAATGTGAAAATATTTTGATTATCATGGTCTCCTAAGTTATAATGTGCTGGGTTAAGGGAAGAAGCGCATGTCTACTGCAAGGAGATGGGAGGCCATTTTCCACATCTGGAGGATGTTTGGACCTAGTTTCACATCTCTCCGTCTCTTTGCTCCTGCATGGTTTGCTGGCTTCCTTAGGGCCCTCCTCAACATGGCCCACCTGCCACTCTGGTCTCCTCTTTCATCACCGGCCGTAGTCCAGGGGTGGCCTTGAGACCTGTGGGTACCCCAGATGAGCTAATCTGCCCAGCTATTCTGAACTGCCTGCTGCTTCCTGAACTCACCATGCTCAGAGGGGATTCACCCTGAAACTAAAGAAGCTTCAGTTTCAGGATCCCTTCCCAGGAAGAGACTCCCACAACTTCCTATTCATAACTTTGTATTTTTTTAATCTTCCCCCTCTGATTATATAGATTTCAAGCCCTACAAAATCTGGTGTATCCATGATCATGTTTCCTGGCTTCTCCATTTTCTCTTCGAGGAATTCCCAGTCCACCCTGACTCCTGGCTGATTCCTGCATCTCTTAGACTCAGCTCTAACTACCTCCTTTAAGAAGCACCCACGTTGTTGGGCTCCTTCATTCACTGAGTGCCTGTGCTGTTCCAGGAGCTGGACAAAGCAGTAATAGTATAAATATAATATAGTAAATAAGACAGAAATCTTTGCTGTCATGGGGCTTGTAATCTGACTCGGGTGGGAGTCAGGTTCATTCTAGTGGGTCAGATGCCACTCCTGGGTCCCCATTGCTGTCAGTCATCCTGCTCCAGATTATTCACAAATCCACCTTCCCTCAGGATCGTGGGCTTCCTGGTGCCGGGGCTGTGTGTTCTTTATCCCACTGTCCCAAAGACCAGGAGCACGGTGCACACGGACAGATTCAGTAAAAATCTGCCGAGAGAAGGAGCACAGATCTGCTCATCACATTTGCACGCGAGGATGGGAGGCAGCTGCTCATTTCCCGTACACACTCTAGGTATAGGAAACTGGGGTTTCTTCCTTCAGGTTTGCCAACTTCAAGAAGTCCTGGTGGGAGTGTCCAGTGAGTGAGAGTTGTATGTAGGACGGTAGTGCAGAAAGGCTGGCGGAGCCACACTGATTAACGTCCGGCTTCAGAGGCCCCTTCCTTCTTACCGCAAGCTGCATTGTCCCCTCCCCAGCCGCGTTGCGGGGGTCTTGTTGACAGTGTTGAGAAGTGCCCCATTTTGAAAGCGGACTCAATTCCGTGAAGGATTTTTATCTCAGCCAATCAGGTATCTTTTGTAGCTCTGCAGATAAATCAAGGAAGTCCTAAATTCTTTATAAGCAGAAATGATGCATTTCTCATTTCTAAAAATAGAATGCTCCAAGAGTTGCCATTTCCTTAGTTTTGCTATTTCAAGAAGTGGCTTTCAGGGTTTCAGCTTGTGTTAACATTTAATTACCAGGCACACAAAGGAAAGAAATGACTGGAAAGTTCACGGGAAGCCATCATGACAGAGGGCAGAGCAGTAGGTTCAGAAAGCCTTTTTATTTAGCTCTTCCCGTGCTTTTCGAGGCTTCATACATGTTTGGCCAACACTGAACTCATTTGTGGGCTGATGCTCTCCAGTTCTGCTGGATTCCAGAGGAATCTCATTTTCCTGGCGCTGAGAAGACTCCCTGGCTTCTGATTGCCATTGAAGCTGAAATTTCAGTTTGCGTGGTTGTTGAGCAGCCAGAACCAAAGCCACAAATGCTGTGTGGGAAGGACTGAGTTAGGACAGCCTCCAGGGGAGATCGCGGGGAGGGCACGTGGGTCATGCTCTTTGGCACCTGTGGGAGCCGCATGCTCACTGGAGGTGGCCTGCTGCGCTGCTGTGACCAGTAGATGGGGCCTGGTGGCCTTGGTGTCAGCGGCTCACCTGTGCCCATGTTGTCCCTTGAAATGCAGCTGCTGCTCCCCAGCATCTGCTCACGTGGCCCTGGCCTCAGGCTGTTTTAGTGAGGCTCCTGATTCTTTGACAGATACCCATCTGTGGGTCTTGACAAGTCTGCCTCCATCCCGGGTGAGTGCCACATAACCCTCTTTGAGCAGCGTCCGTTGGGGTTCACACCTGCCCCCTTCTTTGCAGTGTCCGATCCTCCTGGTCCCATGAAGCTGCCCTGAGTGGGTGGGTCTAAAGTGCTTCTGTATACACCCTGACCCTCGACTGTTCTTCTCAGTCCTTCTTGACACCAGCTTCATCGGTCCTCATTTCAGTTCATAATGCAATAGGCATCTATTTGTGTTTTCTTTGGGCTCAGTCTCTGAGTTCCACTGTCATCTGTATTGATTAGGGTATAGTTTTCTCCATGTTATGTCTTGTTTCTCCTTCTTTGAGAAAGTCCCAGCCATTGTCATCTTGTTTATTTAGTATATTTCTGGAAGATAGAGGAAAGTTTCTGTAAACAGATGGGTAAAATTGAATGTGCGTGGAGTACTCACTCGAAAACAAAATTACGATTACTGTCATGCACGCAATACATTTAATAGTAATATAATAATAGTAGCTACTTTTATTATGTGTTCACTGTTTGCCAGGCTGTGAGGAGCATTAACTCACTGGGGTGCAGTAACAGCCCCAAGTAACTGCACAGCTCAGCTTTCTTAACCTTCAATTTGATCAGTGTCCGTGGGGTGTGGTATATATGGCCATATCGAGGCAGATCTGGGTTTTCTGAGCAGTGAAGCTTAGAATTTGAGGGGAGGCTTTAAGAAAAGTAACTCAGAATTATAAATACAAAATAAGGCATGGAAGTGAATAGTGATTTAGAATTTGAGAAGAAACCACAGCGAATTACAAAATTTAAAAAGCTAACCCAAATTATCAACATTGGAAATAAAGGAAAACAACACATTTTTGTCAGTGAACCTCCTGACATACCTCAGTGATATTTTCTTCCCTACATTTTTTTGGCATCATACTCCTGTCATCTCTTCATACAATCATGATTTTGTATTATCATTCTGTGTCGCAAGAATAGATAATTCAGTCTTTCCTGTAGCAAGATTATTTGAAATTTGCATTTAATTAGTCAGAGTTTAGAAAAGTTTCTTCTAGCTTTGCAACGTTTGGCAACATCCCATAAACCTTTTAGGACTGGATAACCTCTGTTAGGGTTCTTTCATACGGCAGCTGTGTGAGTTGGGGCATTCTCAGTTTGTGTAATGACTGCTCTCAAATACCTCCAGGCAGTCTGTCTGCGTTGCAATATGGCCTCTGTGTTGTGCCGCCACGTCACTCTGTTTACATGACATTGGGTGGACCGACATAGTGGGCCGTGTTTCTGTAAGTCTTCCTAAACCAAGATGCCAAGCCACAGTTGACCTCTACAGGGATGTGTATGGGGCCTGAAGAGAGGTCTGTGCAAGTGAGGGGCATTCAGCTGCTTTAACCCACAGTCAATACGTCTGTGTCCTGGGCTAGATGTGGAGAGATCAGGATACCTGGCCCTGCCCCAAGGCACGTACAGTCAAGGTGATAAGCTAGCTGTTCATGGGTCATTTCAATCCAGGGCAGGAGGAACTGCCCACCTGGGACTGCTACTAACAACAGTCAGAGAAGGGGCAGGGTCCCTTTTAATGGGCTGAGGTGGTGCCCCAGTTATAAAGCCAATGACTGCAGGCCCTGGGGCTAGAGCAACTCTGCTTTAACTTTTTGGGGCATATTTGTCTGTGTGAGATTTGTTTTTGAGAAGAACGATTCTGCTGCTAAAGTCAAACATCTGTGGACCGCTGCCCGAAGGACTGTAGGACTCTGACAGGTGCGTAGGTGTGGGGAGTGACGGGAGCAGGCTCGTCAGGAGCAGTGAACCGCCCGCACGGCTCATGTCGGGGCCCCAGGGCTAGAGACCTGGCTGCAGCCTGTGCATCTGCCTGTCTAAGAGGGGCTGTGCTGTCAAGTTAAGGAATTCAGAACCCTGCCCCCCTGAAGAACTGTCATTCTTCTCAGCACTCGTGAAGCATCACTTGCTTGGTGAAGTGAGAAAATTTCGCAATCCATGGACGGCAATTGGTGGTACCTCCTCCCTTAGCTCAGCGTTAGCCTCTGCCAGCACTTGTCACTGTACTGAATTTGGTGTCCACGAGTCCACCTCTCCCACTAGTCCAGGGTTTCTTTGACTCAGTTCCATGGCTGTTCTCCGGGAAGGACAACTCTCCCCCCAAAACAGGGTATAAAATGTGTGTACATATTTCTATGGGGAGGGAGCCCATGGCCTCAGAGAGGTGTGTAACCCCAAGAAGGTTAAGGAGCTCAGCGCTGGGCTTGTTTCTTGTTCACCCCTGAACTTACAAATTCCAGCACAGTCCTTGGGGCGTCATGATAGACCAGGGGTTCTTCAGAACCCCCAGAGAGCTTGTTCAAGCACTATCCCCACTCCTGGAATTTGTGATTCAGGTTTGGGATGGGGCTTCAGAATTTAGAATCTGTATCCACTTCTTACATGATGCTGACAGTGCTGTTCCTGGGACCCCACTTTGAGAACCACTTTTGTGAACTGAAAGTGGGTCCTTTCAGTCCTCTCCCTGATTTCACACTCACCGAGAAATGAATGTTCATAGATAAGGACTTTTAACCTCCAGATGGGGAAGAAAGCTTAAGGGCTTGTGTGCGGATTGAGTTATTACATTTTTACACACTATAAAAGCATCATACTTTGTAAGAACAAGTGCAGATAAAAAGATGCACTTTTGAAAAGAGCACACAGTCACACATCCTACATGTTTTGAGTCTCGTAGACTCGGGAGCTTCCTGAGCCCTGTCGTGCTTAGAGAAACACAGTGTCTTGGAATATTTTAAAACTCAAATCAGTCAATTTGCAGGGTTCTACAACAAAGTACTTCCGATGCACTTCTAGTCACTGACTAGTGATCAATTTGGGTAATTCTGGGCCCCAGTTTTTCCTTTTGAAGATAAAAAATCAAGTGCTTGTATGTCAATTATGCCTCAATTGGAAAAAAAAAAGTAGTTTTTTGTATGATCAGGCCTCATAAGATGGCTGCTGTCTTGCTCTCTGTGCTTCCCTGCGTGACCCTGCCCTCCCTCACCCTTACCGTATGTGCACGAGTGCCTCCCCATCCTAAGCTGAAAGTTTGATCAGTAACTACCCATGTGATTGGCTGCACCCCTAGCTGATGATTGTTCTAGCCCTCGGACCGGAATGGTTCCAGTGTGTTCGATCATCATCCAGAAACAGCAGTCTTGCGACAGCTGCTAACCCAGAGAGCTGTAGGGGGACGCGTCCCAGCCACCCTTCTGGCAACCAAGGAGCCCTTCTGACATCATGCCCCCTGTAAGTGATAGCCGCCTCCTCCCCTGTGTAGCAAACTATGTCCTACCTGCCGTTGGCCATACGCAGTGAGGTGTCGCCCCAAGACCTTTGCCTGTGATGGAAGATTCCCTGTCCAACGAATCATTGATGTTGCTGTCACTGACTCTGGGTTCTTTCTTTGGTCTCATGGGTGGGGAGTCGGAAGGATGGCAGGACTGGGATGTAGCCCAACACTCTTGGAGTTACGTCACCAGGAGAAGCACTGAACTGAAGTGTGTTGAGGTGGCTTTAAAGCCAGGCCGTGTGCCAGATCTGTGCTAAGCCTGCTTCTTCTAAGCCAAGAGTAGTTATGGGCAGTCTGGTAATTAGCCTAAGTTCATTTTGTTGTTAGTGTGACATTCCTGTCGCCAGTGATGGCCAGTTTCCTACACCAGGGGCCTGTCCCCCCCACGTGTGACCAGCTGGAAGAGCTTAGTGGAGCTGAAGAGCAGTGAACAGCTGTAACCAGTGAATCATCAGTTTAAAGAAGAGGAGAAAATAGGAGATTATGGTCTTAACCCGTAGTTTGGTAGATAGAGAGGTGTGGCTTCCCACAGGCCCACCTCAAGTCTTCCAAGCTCCTCTCTTCTACCATTTCTTTTTCCTTTTTCTGTCTTCATCTTTTCCTTATGTTTCCTCCATCTCAGCATCTTTTGCCTCCCCAACCCCTAGGTGTCTGTCACTTTTGTCCCCTCGCCATCTCCTTCTTGTCCCTCTTCCTTTCTTTCCTTCATCATTCTCAGCCTCTTCTCCTCTGATAGTTTCTTTCCTCCTCCTAAGAGCCACGAGTAGAAGCGAGGTGTTGTGCCAGCTGTTTGTATTTAAAGCGAGAGCTTTTTTGCCTTGTACTTAACTTACGTAGCCGTGAGTCCCTCTCCGTTGGCCCCTTTTCCTTGGAGTCAGTGGTTCTCTCTGGGACAGTGTTCCCTGCAGCTGAGGAAGACCTCTGCCCATTCAGGTCTCCAGGAGTCGTTTCATTGAGCGACTTCAGGGTTTGTCTAAGTTTCGAATCTTCCGAGTCCTGGGGACCAAAGAAGACATGTTATTCTTCCATGAGATTTCCCTCATGCTGTTCTTCTGCAGGCCTTCTTGCTTAACATGCACCATCAGTCTTTAACAGAGATGTTGGCTTATAAACTCTCCATATATTTCCTGTGGTTGAGCATTGGTGTGCATAGACCCTTAACAAGGCAGCCTGGAGAAGAGAGAGTTCTGACTGACAGAAGACTGCATTCTAGTCCAGTCTGCTGGTTACTTGGTGGGACATTTCAAGAGATGAGCTCAATTTGTGATCCTCAGTTTCCAGCCTCAGTAAAATGGAGAGATGTTTCCATGCCTGCCTTAGAGTGGTGTTAAAAGATAAACTGAGGCATATTAAACATTTTAAGAGTTTATTTGAGCGAAAATCAATTCGAATTGGGCACCACCCAATTCCCAGTGGTTGGCAGCGCGCTGGCAACAGGAGGTGGGGGGAGACTTATATGAAGAAAGTGCAGAAGCTAAGAAAGGAAGTTATTGATTGGCTCTAGTGCAAAGCCCAGTTGGCTGTTTGTGCTTGGCTGTCTTTAGTGTCTTGATTTTATAACCTTGAGGCATTTGCAGGCACATATTGGTTTGCTTATGTAGGCTGCCACCTACGGCATTAGAGCCCCCTCAGACTAATGGCCTCCATGTTTGATTGATTTAACAGTGGATTAAGTGTGATCATCTGTATAAAAACACCTTGAGAGTTAACAGTGGCACACAAAAGGAAGGTAATCCTAATATCCACCACATTACATGAAATACTGCCTAAGTAGCTTCAGGGAAAAAAAAATAATTCATCTAGGTAACAAAAGCGTGATTTGGTGTGCTAAATTGCAAAACAATTATGAATACTTTTATAGTTTTCATTTATTAAACGTTTTAAACAATCCAAGTTCGGTCAAATGGTGAGAATTGTCATTAAATACATTTAAGAAGATGTAAACATACTGTCGGTATCAGTCCAGAAATAGCAAACGTCAGTTGATTAAACATGGAAAATTAATATGAAGAATTACAAATTGGTGAAAGGTGATCAACTACTAGAGAGTAAATTTAACTCTACAGCAAGATCCACAAACTATGGCCCTTGGGCCCAATCTGGCTGTCGCAGTCCCCTCTTGCCACAGTTTTATTGAGATGTCATTGATATATATCACTACATTGCCTCTTTTTGTAAGTAGAGTTTTACTGTCACACTGCCACGCCCATTTGTCGACTTAACTGTCTCTGACTGCTTTTGTTTACTGCTTATGACAGAAACCATAAGTCACCTAACTTATTTACTCTCCACCTCGTCACCAAAAATGTTTGCCAACCCCTCCTCTAAGAATACAAGACTAGTCTATCTAGGGAGCAGAGACCCAGGGAAAGAACAAACTTGGAAGAGCTCCCCCACTGGCAGCCGAGGCTAGGATTCAGGCCTCGGTGAGGGGAGTATGCCTGGTCCACTGGACGGGGAGGTTTGCTGGGGAGCTGCAGGCTGGAGGGCTGGGAACCATCTGCTGGGGTGCCTGTACAACTTCTGGGGAATGTGTGCCTCTGGGCCTCTCACAGAAAGCCCCCACTGGCTACTGTGCTGTAGGTACAAAGCAAAACAAAAACAAAAATAAACCAACCCCAGAACACTGGAGCCTGAGAAAAGCCCCTCTCTCAGCAGTGTGCCTGCAGCACTCTCTGCTAATGAGGGCTGACATTGTGGCCCTGCTTTCTGATAAAGCAGTCTGACTTTCCCTTGTGGCCTGGAGGGAGTGGAGCTGATGCCCCCGTGCGAAGGGGCCGAAGGGACGCATCCAGCTGAGGATTCCCCCTGGCCAGCACATGCCCGTTGGAGCAGTCAGGCCTGGAAAACTAGGTTACCCGCTCTGGACTTCCCTGGTTGTGGTCATGTGCTGGACAGTCTACAGAGCAGGGGAGAATGGTGTCTGTTCCATCCTGCAGCCTCTCCATCTGACTTCTTTGTAATGGAAGTTTAGCTGTCAGAATCCTGAGCTCTGCCATTGGAGAAAGCTGTGTGCATCTTTGGGTTTTGTTAGGAATATAGTCATGGCCCCTAAGAAAAATGTTACAAGTTGTGGCATTCATCCATTTTGCCAACAAGCACCTATGGACTTATAATTATATATAGCATGACAAACTAAAATGAAGGAGCAAACGATTTGTTTAAGTCAAATTAAAATATTTTAGAGAATACTTTTGTTTTCTGTGGCAGTTCTTACTAAAGTAATTACTTTGTATAAATTTCTTCTTTTGGCCTTTTTAAAATACAAAAACAGTTTAACATTACAGATATTTTATACGAGAAATTACCTGCACTTTCACTATGATAATTTTAATTTTTTTGATTTTGCATATTTTTAATCTCCATCCATAAACATGTTTCACCCAATTATAATAATATAATAATGTTAACTTGTGTGGGCATTGTGTTTTTTCTCAGCATGTTGTAAGTTTTTTTGTAGAGTCTACTTAAAAGTTACTGAAGTTAAATATGAACATTTTTATATGTGTCTTAGGCAGAGCAAGCTGACTGCTTCATTAAAAACTTGAGAACCTCATTGGCTTAACACAGTAGATGCTTTAGTTCTTGTTCACAGGCTATTTCAGTTTCAATTTTAAGCAGTCAGCCTTCTGCAGGGTGATTCAGGATCCAAGCTCCTTTTATCTTGGGGCTCCACCCACTCCTCAGTGTCCTTGAGTCCCCTGCAGGATCCTGTGCGTGCTGCTGGCAGTGAGGAGTAGGGAGAGAGCAGGGAATAGTGGCTGTCTCAGTTAGCTTGGGCAGCTGTAACAGAATGGGGCTTAAGCAACAGATACTTGTTTCTCACAATTCTGGAGGCTGGGAAGCCTAAGATCAAGGCACTGGCAGATGCAGTGTCTGGTGCGGGTCCACTTCCTGGTTTGTAGATGGCTGTCTTCTTGTTGTGTTCTCACCTGGTGGAAGAGATGAGAGAGCTCTTGGGGGCGGGTATCTCTTGTAAGGGCACTAATCCCATTCAAGAGGGTGCCACCCTCATGACCTAATCACCTCCTAGAGGCCCCATTTCTTAACCTCAGTATATTTAGGGATTAGGTTTCAACATAAGAGTTTCAAGGATGCAGACATTCAGTCTGTAGCAGAGGCTTTTATGAGCTAGGCTTGGCAGTGGCCACATCCCTTCCACTCATATGCTATTGGCCAGAAGACTGTCACATGACCACACCCATCCATGGGAAGGCTGGGAAATGTAGTCCAGCTGTATTGCGAAGGAAAGAAGGCAGACTTTGGGAACACATAGTCTCAGTTGCAGTTTCCAATTTAATTGCCACATACCAGATGTCTTTAATATATTTCCTATATATTGTCACTTTAACATGTACAGCATTTACTGAATTGTGTGTATGAGATGATTTTTTATTAATAGCTTCAAAAAACAAATCTTGCAGTTTATAACTGTTTTTTATCTTTTAAGTATAGCTGATTTACGATTGTGTTAGTTTCTGGTGTACTTGTAGTAACTATTGATATAATGAATTTAATAACACTTTTTGTGTATATGTGCATGCATGTGCACACACACACATATTTTAGCACTTGGCATACTGTGCTATAGTTAGTTGAGTATGTATCTTTATCCTCCACCTGGCCTAATTAGTGCCTTACATGTGGGAAGTGATCACTGAACACTGGCAGTGGCTAGAAATAGATGAGATTTTTACTGGGAAGACTAACTTTGGAAATAGCTAGAGAAGGCATAATCTCTCTTTGCTTTCCCCACTTGGTCATAGCCTCCTTCTCAGTGCATGCCAGCTATGGTCACCTTTTCCCATGGGGGGTCACCCACAAACCCTGATTTTAGTACGTTTTACCCCTTGCTTGCCTTATTTTGATCCAGCTCACATTTTTTGGTGTTTAGGTATTGCTTATGTAGGTATATAGATGGTTCAGGATAGACAGAGATATTTTGAGACTTCAGAGATGAGCTCCACAGAGTGTTATATGAAATAGTGAGCTCTGTGGATGCTTTAAGCCCAGGACCAAGAAAATGTAGTCATGGCTGGAGCCGCTGGCCTTCACTGCCAGACCATGGCTAGCCCCCCCTCAAGCAGGGCAGCTCTGGCTTAGAAGGGTACTGACTAGCCAGAGGTGACCCAAGACATGACTGGAGGTTCCATTAGACTCCATAGCATCCTTTGTGCTTAAATAACCAAATGAGCATGAGTAACCATGAAACGTCTTCTGTGCCTTTGAAAACAACTTGTATCTCTTGTGTCTGATTCTTCCTAATAACAAAACTGGCACACTCTCGTTGTAGAAAAGTTGGAAAATACAAAAACATACTGAGTAGAATGTATAAAATTCTTCAGTCTTAATAAGTTGCATTTATCTGTAAGAGTGTTTTAATTGCTTATCTTTTAACCTTCTAGGCCAAGCCAAAGCTGATTGAGCCACTCGACTATGAAAATGTCATCGTCCAGAAGAAGACACAGATCCTGAATGATTGTTTAAGGGAGATGCTGCTCTTCCCCTATGATGACTTTCAGGTAGATAACTACTAAGTGCCTGTAAATAGAGCCGTGTGGTTGATCTTTACAAACAGTTCTTTTCTATCTCTTGATTTATTTTTTGGTTAGTTAATTTAAGAAATTTAAAAGATGAAAAGAAGAGATGATATTTAAGAGAGAAAAGTTATTATTGTTATATTCTTCCAAGCATTCTTTCATGAGTTGATTTTTTTATTGATGTTATTTTGTCATATACATGAATATTCGTGTGTGTGCAGTTATGAATGTATGTTACATGTGTATGTGCATATATGCAAATACATGCATATAGCACATACATATATAACATAAATATTTCTTCTAGGTGTGTGTCTTTTATCTTCAGTAGACTCTGGGCTAATTCTGTGGATACAAGTGCCTCCTATGTCTTAGGAATTTTGTAGAGTTTAGGGTTTTTGCCACGTGCCTAAGAGTCTTAAGGAGGGAATGGACGGAGGAGGCCAAGATGGCGGAGTAGAAGGAGGGGATGGACTAGTGAAAGATTTTGTAATGCATGCTTTTAGGATGGCTTATTGGGAGACTGCCTTGAGAGAGGCCCTGAACTGAGTGTGGGCTCAAGAGAAGGGGTTGGGGTTCCTGACAGCCAGGAAAGTCCTGGCATTCCCTTCACTGATGCAGTGACAGGTGCTGTTTCCGGGAGCTCAGTAGCTGCCAGCAGGGGACTCGGCACAGGGGTCTCAGCTATGAGCTGCTCTCTAGATTGTTGCTTGAAGCCTTTCAGACTGTGGCCTGGGGCTAAGTGCCCTACAATCACTTGAGGCCAGTGAGGCATGATAAAACCCTAATGGCATTAGATGCCTAGCAATCTGGAGTCATCTTGGTCTATTGGAGATTCTAGTTACTTCCCTTGCTCTCCTGGTACTTAATCTTGGCACTTCCTTCATCTCTACCTTGATGCTTCTCTACCTGATGCTGTTTCCATCTAAGACCGGTCTTCTGTGAATTAAACTGCCTTATTTTTGTTTAAAGCTTCCTTGATTCTTTGTTATTTAATTTAAAAAACTAGTACATACTTGTAAACAAACAAATAGGCATTATTAAAACACCTGACATTAAAAGCCTCCTTTACCACCTTCTTTCTAATCCCATTCCCCAGAACATAACCTGCTATACACAGCTCTTCATGTACCGAATTGTCTTTAGAAACTTCCATGTTAATAACAATTGTTAAATTATATTCCTTGAAATTTTTTTCCCACCAAATTTAAGAGCCTCCAGTTTACAGCAAAGGTAGAATTTTCACAAATGTTCACTTCTAACTTGTTAGAGATACATGTGGAGAAAATGATTATACTCTAGTTCTTCCCTGAAAAATAAGGAATGCCATGGAAATGAAATTGACCATTAGTTCAATGCTGCTGCCAAAGTATGTTCCACTGATAAATGGTTTCAGATGGTGCTCCAAAATATGATGCTTTGAGAACTTCATTACATGAATAGATTACCCAACTAAGGGATGAATAAATGGAAACCTCAGAATGATACTTTTTGCCTGTGATTTTGGCAAAAGATTTGTTAGCATGAGAAGTTAAATGAGATGATTATAAATTATATTCCATGTTGACATATTTTTCCTGTCGTGTGCTCTGAGGAAGCCAAAGGTTATCTCAAGTTGCTCTGAGCATGAAGTATGTATTCTTCTTGGTATCAGTTAGAGTAAGTTGTTTCGAGTTTGCAGCCTAGAATGCAAAATTGTATCTGCAATTCTGAGATAAAATTGCCCAAAAAAAAGCAAAGCAAAGAAATAAGAAATAAGATATAGTTAATTTAGTTTCATCTTTTGTCTCAAGGCCAAGGAACCTGGATGTTTAAACTATTGTGGAAACAGATGATTGAAACTTTGAGAAAAACTCCATTGTCCCTTTTGCCCCTAACTTCTTCTCTGGGGATAGGAGACACAAATATTCTAGGAACGGCAAAGAAATCACTGACATTTTGCTGGCCAAGTTTGAATGAGCAAGTGTTAATTTCTGCTTGGGGGAAGTTTTTTCAAAGCTTGAGGAGCTTGAATGTCAGTGTCGATTGCCATCACAGTAGTTGTGATGGGCTCCTCTGGAGTTTGGATGGTGTTACTTGTTTCCTGGGAGACTTCTGTTTTCTAATCTGGTAAGGCTGTGTATCCTGTGCTTTCTTGCTAAATTGTCTTAATGATTTTACCACCTGCCTAGTTAGCTGTATGATCCAAATGTCTTAATGATGCCACAGATTCCCTCTGTCTGTCCCTGGGTTTTTTGTTTGTTTGTTTTTGTTTTTTTTAGCAGGATAGGAGCAGAATTATTGTTGTATTATTAGAGGAAGAGGGAACAAATTAGGTCAGAGGAAAATATTTTACTTCATATGTAAAAAAGACAGGAAATGGGTCAGGTAGTGAGCAAAGTGCATGGTGAGGTTGATTTGCAATCCTATACTTACTAGTTAAACAATATTAATTACCTATTAAAATAATAGAAGTTGGTGTGAAGTCCTGTCAAATATATTCAAAGTGATAATTCACTGAAATGTAGGTGTGGATAGTGGTGATACACTTGTGCAGGTCATGAGTAGACCTGTGTTGGGGTTGTCAGCCCCTAAGGACGTCTGAGTTCTCTGAAAACAAATCTAATGGGTGTACTTGTCTGAGGTGGGAGAAGAGTGTTGAAAGCAAAACACCCTGAGAGACATGAAGTCAATGTGGATTTTAAAAAGACAGAAGGACATTTCTCAGCCGTTCGAACATTTATGAAGTGAAGTTTTCTCTGCCCTGACTGGCGCAGGGATGCCACGGCTAATACAACCCTCCCTTGCTGACTACCCTTGTTCTTCAGAATCGGACTCAGGGGCTTTGGGGTCTGTTCTGTTGTCTGTGCCTTGGCTTCATGGTTCTCCTTTCCAGCAGGATCATCTCTTCTTCTCCATCGTTCTAGAACCGCCTCACCCTTTGAGATTACAGTCCTCCAAAGCTATTCAAGTCCACAGTCATCCCTCCAGCCCCGTTCTCTAATTCCTCTAATGCTTACTGTCTACATCATGTGCATTAATGCCTAAGTGCATTGTCTTGAGCTTTTCACTGATGGCTCCTTGTACTTCTTGTGTTCAAGTATTCCCACCTGTGCTATGACCCTGAGGAAGGTGCTTCTCTAACCTCCCTCGCTGCCCACTCACCTCCACATCCACAGAATCTCTGCACGCTGGTTGCCAGGGGTGGGTGCTTCTGGCTTCATAAAGTTATCATGAACGTTAGGTAGTTTTCTTTGATTCACAAAGTGAATATAAGTACCACTGAGCACATGTGGAAGTGCCCATGACTAGATCTGTAAACTTCTTGCCAAGTCAGTGATTTGGTTTGGTGGAAATTAGATAATTTCTGAAATAAAATAAAATGGAAGTGAAACAGGGTCATGAAAGGAGTATAATTCCTGGTGGCTAACGGACCTTTCTTGTTCTTTAAGTTTTGTGGCCACATCAGATTTACGTGGTATGAGTCTGAGAACTTTTCCATGGGTAAATTATAGGTAAACTTTAACAGGCAATTAGACAGAGAAGATAACCTTTATGATTAAAATGCTTTAGATCAAGAAAGGTAAGTGGACTCATTGCTTAAGAAATGACAAATCTCTGCATAAGTGTAAGTGCTGCCCTGGGTTCCCCCCTTTCCTATCAGAGACAGACAATTCAGTGTGAGTCTGGTGGTAGATTTCCAATCAAGGTTCTCCTCCAAGTGCAAGTCTTTTGCCAGGTGATACCATTGGTGTTGACATTCTTAATTGCTGTCATCCATCCACTGAATCTATAGCTGGCTTTCGAGCTCCTTGTATCCTGGCTTGTGGCACAACTCACCAATGTTTGTGCAGTTTTGTAAAGTGATAGAATATGGAAAGGGTAGTGAATAGTTTAAAAAAAAAGATGTTGGGAAGCAATCTATGGATACCATTTATATTTCACAAAAGTTAGACTTTGGTGTCTGATATAAACTAACAAGGCATAGAGTCTGTATGAAGGAAATAAGAAAAGTGTGTCATATTTGTTGGGGGACAAGGAGGGCTGGTGTCGTGGGCAGTTTACCAAAGACAAAGGATGAGAATAGGAAGGAGTTTATTAGATCACGCTGCCAGAGACAAACAGCGGGCCACACAGACGAGAGGAGCCCGTGTGAGCCCCAAGGGCTGGTTGTTGGGGTCTTTTATAAGGTCAGGTCACAGGGTGCCTGGTTGGCTTGTGCACAAGTCTCTGATTGGTTGCAGGTGAGGTAAGAAGTTTAGGACCCATGAAAGGCGGTTGGATTTGTGACTCTCTGGTAAGGTGGGCTGAGACAAGCCAGGATGAGCTATTGTGAGATTAGGCACTACCTAGGGCTATTAGTTTGTTAGGGGAAACACGCCCAGTAAAGAATGTACTTTATCTGTTGAGGGATCACAGGCAGACACCTGAGAGCCCAGAAATGGGGGTCGTTAGACTTTGAAGGACATCATTGGCCCCACAATATTCCACTTCTGTGGATATACCCAAAGAATTGAAGGTAGAGACTCAAAGAAAGACTTGTACACCCACATTCCTAACAACATTATTGATGATAGCCAAAAGGTATCATCCATTGATGGGCAAGTGGATAAACAAATTGCTTATATATGTACAGTGAACTATTCTTCAGCTTAAAAAAGGAAGGAAATTCTGGCACGTGCTACAATATGCATGAACCTTGAGGACATTATGCTAATAGAAACAAGAGTCAAAAAAGGGCAAATATTGTGTGGTTCCACTTATATGAGATACTTAGAATAGTCAAATTTATAGAGATAGAAAGTAGAATGCTGGTTCCCAGGAGATGGAGGAGGGGGAATGGGGAGTTAATTGTTGAGTGGGTACAGATTTCCGTTTTGTAAGATGAAGAATTCTGTGAATGGATGGCGGTGATGGCTGTACCACAATGAGAATGAATGTTCTTACTGCCACTAAATTGTACTCTTAAAAATGATTAAGGTGTTAAATTTTATGTTACGGAT